AATGTGTTTGGGAGAGCCTGGTCCTGCTTATCTTGAAGTTATGTACTTCTAATTCTGTTGTTAGGTTTCATCACAGTTAACTGTAACTATTTGCTTAGTGACTGACTAGCCCCACTGCACTGTAAGATTTGTGTGACCAGGGGCATGGTTTCTCTTATTCCTCCTGACCACATTACCTGGGCTGTCCCTTCTATGGAGTTGGCCAGGAAGAGCTACCTGGACCTCAGAGATGACAAATCCAGTCAGAACAGGGGATTGGGAGCCAGGAAGACAGAAAAGAGTGGCAAACGTAAGAGGTGATTCTTGTTTCCTTTCCTTAGGATGGCCAGGAAAGTTAAAAACTGAATTATGAGTTGAAGTGTGAAATACATCTAGCTTTGCTGGGTGCTGATGGCTTATTCTTGTAATCTAGCTATTCAGGAGGCTGAGATGTGAGGATTGCAATTTGAAGCTAGCCTGGGCAGGAAAGTACATAAGACACTTATCTCCAATTAACCACCCAGAGTGGAGCTGTGGCTCAGAGTGGGAGAGCATTATCCTTGAGCAAAAGAGCTTCCAGACAGTGCCTAGGCCCTGAGTTCAAGCCCCATGACTGACAAAAGAGAATATATTTAGCTTCAGACGCAGCCCTCTTCATATGAAATGAGAGGACCAGGCTCAACAGTGTAGAATACCAGACATGGGTAGGTTTAGGAGAATAATTCTAGCCAATTCGGAAGAGCCCTCTTTCATGCCTTAGAGTTTTTTGGGTTATTTGGGGGAATTGTTCTTTTGTTTTTGTTTTTAGTAATCTGTCCTTTCATTTCTCTGATGGAAATAAGTTTGTAAATAAATTATCCTGGTTGACAGAAACTACATCCACTGATACAAACGTATTAGAGCTACAGGATGTCAGCCTTTTGATGAGTCCTATCAACCTAGATAGCACTGCAAACAGTGCTTTTACCTATAAACCAAGTCTGTCCTCACCCCTGATCCTAGTGTTGGAGGTTTGTCCTTTCAGAATAAGGAAGAAGCTGCTGATTGGAACAGAGGTCACACTCAGTGGGAAAGCTGGCCTAGGGCCAAGAGGATATTGCTGCCAAAGAAAGACGTGCAACAGATAATCTGAAATTTGGATAATCTCCCTCAGGTGTTGAAATCAGCCTCTTAGCATTTACCAAAAGTGAAGAAAGACTTCCAGGCAGAGGTGAAGGAGACGTGCCTTGGAAATAAATTGTGGTAGATTTCATATTGTTCTCTCAATGCTTCCTTTCAGTAACACAAGTCAGTGTTGGCCAGATCACTCACACACACTCACACACACACACACACACACACACACACACGCACACACACACACAGAGCCAGGTGTGAACTTAAATCACTGTTGAGCAAGAGTATGACAGGCAACTCTCAACAGGGTGAAGAAAAAGAGAAAAGAACTAGTCACAGAAGGTAGGGGTAGATGTAGGGTCTCTAAAATCAACTCTAAACTGATGCTACTTATTCAGGGTATTACAGAATTCACAATGCAAGTTGGACGGAAATGGTATTTTCTAGGAACTCGAACCATTATGAACAGTAAAAAAGAAAAAAAGTAAAAGAATAAATTATTAGTATTAGCCAAACTCATATTTCTAAATCCCTTGGGAAAGATTTCCCTAAGTTAATGAAGACAGTCCGGTGACCATTTGTAAACAACAGTGTGTACCTGTTTATAATGCTACTTTAAAAAAAAATACTTTTACTGCCAGGTACTGGTGGCTCACACCTGTAATCCTAGCTATTTAGGAGGCTGAAACCTGAGGATCACGGTTCAAAGTCAGCCTAGGTTGGAAAGTCTGTGAGATGCTTACCTCCATTAAACTACCACAAAAGCCAAAAGTGGAGTTGTGGCTCAAGTGGTAGAGTGCTAGCCAAAGGTCAGGGACAGTGCCTAGTCCTGAGATCAAGCAAAAGGACTAGCACAAACGTATATAGGTATCTTTTAAAACTATCTTTAAGTAGTTGTGTAAAGGAGTTGTCATTCAACAAAGCCATTTGTTTATTGCCAGGCCTGGGGACTGAACCTAGGACTAGGCACTGTTCCTGAGCTTCCTTTGCTCAAGGCTAGCACTCTACAATATGAGCCATAGCGCCACCTCCAGCTCTTTATGTGGTACTGCGGAATCAAACCCAGAGGCCTCATGCATGCTAGGCAAGCACTCTACCACATTCCCAGCCCCAACAAAGCAGTTTATAATAACAATGCATCTTGATCATTGTCACCCCTTTCAACATTCTCACCCATCCCTTCCACCCTTCCTTCCATGGGGCTTGAACTCTGGGCCTGGGTGTTGTCCCTCAGCTCTTCAGCTCAAGGCTAGTGCTCTATAGCTCAAGGCTAGTGCTCTACCACTTGAGCCACAGCACCACTTCTGGTGTTATGGTGGTTTATTGGAGATGAGTCTCACGGACTTTCCTGCCCAGGCTGGCTTTGAATCATGATCCTCAGATCTCAGCCTCCTGAGTAGCTAGGATTACAGGTGTGAGCCACCAGTGCCTGGCACTTTAGTCATTTTTTAAACAGGGTCTCAAAGTTACTGCCAAAGCAAGCTTGGACTTCCATCCTCCTTATAGCTCCCTCATAGGATGAAAGGCACATACCACCACACCCAGTTTCTATTGCTTGGTACTGAGTCTCATGAACATTTTGTCTGAGCTGGCCTCAAACTGTGATCCTCCCAATCTCAGCCTCCGTGTAGCTGAGGGACAGGCATGAACCACCATGCTCAGCTTAGAGACTTAATTAATCGCCCATGGTTGCCCAGACCTGGGATATTTGGTAAAGCTCACTATTTTAGAAATTTTTCAGACTTTTTACAAAATAGAGTAATACTAAGGCAGAAGGGAAAACAGCTTATCTTCAGGAAGGGAAAATAGCAAGAGAAAAATAGAGAATGTCAGATCTTAGAGTAGTCCTCCTATTGTAATGTTCTCAACTAAAAATGCTGCACTATGTTCGTTCCTCTTGTGCTGCTGAAGAAAGTGCAGAAGGGACTAAAGCCAGCTCGAAGACTTCAGGTAGTAAAACAGCTAAATGACATTGGCCTACAACTTATAGGCAACTTTCATTAAGTAATCTCATTGGAACCACACAAACGCAGCGCTGACTGGAAATCTATGGCAGCCATTTTGGATAGGCAACGTGACAGTTGAGTTTTGTGTTGTTTTGTGCTGGTTGTAGGGCTTGAAGTCAGGGCATTGTCTCTGAGCTTTTTTGTTTGCTTGTTTTCTTTGCTAATGCTAGCACTTTACAACTTGAGGCACAGATCCATCTTGGCTTTTGTGGTGCTTACTTGGAGTCTCACAAACTTTCCTGCCTGGCTGACTTTGAACCACAATGCTCATATCTCAGGCTCCAGAGTAGCTAGGATTACAAGGATGAACCACTGGCTTTAAGTGTTGTTTTACAATCTTTCACAGTCTTGATCTGGCCATGTTTTCCAGTTGTGCACACCATCCCCCCGTTCGTTTTTGCTCTGTGTGTGTGTGGGGGGGGGATGTGCATGCACATGCATGTGCAGATTGATGGTGTTTTTCCTCCAGTAACACCAACCTTCTGGATCTGCCATTTCATCCTGGGACCCTTGGAGAAGTGTCTGGGCTCTATAGCCAGATGAGACGCTGGCCCCTAGTCGCTCTGCCATAGCCATTCCTATCCCCACAGCCACCTCATTTCCCAGGAAAGGCAGTACCAGCGAGGACCACCTCACGGCAGCAATGCTGTGAATGTAAACCTCATCCAAACAGAATGTACAGGTATACCCTAAGACCCTGTTCTCTTGTACGCATTGCTTCTGGGCTCCCTGGCTAGTAGTTGGGTTCTACTAATCTCTACCACCACTCACACACATGAGAAAGCAGGGATAGCTGTGGGCTGCTGTCAGTAGCAATGTGCACTGTTACAAGATTACTTTTGCTCTGGTGTGTCAGTGGTTCAAGCCTGTCATCCTAGCTACTCAGAAGGCTGAGATCTGAAGATCTTGATTCAAAGCCAGCCCAGAGAGACAAATCTGAGACTCTTACCTGCAATGAACCAGCAAAAAGCCCAAAGTGGAGGCATGGCTCAAGGAGTGTGAATCTCAAGCAAAAAGTTGAGTGTGAGGTTGAGTTCAAGCTGTAGTACTGGCACAGAAAAGCAAGCAATCCCCTCCAGCAACCTATTCTGTAGAAAAAGAACAGGCAAACAGAAGGCTCAATCCTTCAATTTTTGCTATGCTCTTCTTATTCTTGAGTTGCCTGACAGTCTTCCCCTAAGACTTCCTCTATCCTTTCTTGCAAATGCCTTATGACTACTTTGTAGGATGACCTCCCAAGGGAGGGAGAGTCGTGTTCATGTAGTTTGATCTTCTGTAGTGTCTTCTTTGCAAGTGACTTGATCTTTGTTCTCAGGAGCATTATTCCTGCCTTTGCATGGTGGTTCCCCCACAGCTCTGCATCTGGTTTGAACATCTGCGTGACCTGCCATCAGGAGATGCTTAGCAGCCCCACATCACTCAGTGATGTGTATGCTGTCTCCCCAGGGTGCAGGGACAAGGAAGATGCCATTTCCACACAAAGCCCTTTAGGAATGCCTTGTACCATTTTTCACACGTAGTTAGTACTTGATCAATATGTACTGAACTGACCTGAAATGAAAGAGAAGACAACCTTCCTTTTCTAACTACAGCATTCCTAAATACACTTCCCAGTATGGGAACAGTTAGGGAAATGAGGGCAGATCCTTGCTGGGTTGAGTCTGGACACCCAAGCTTTGACCATGCCTGTCTAGGTATCATTATTTCCCGTCAAGATGTTGGAGAGGGATTTTCTTTTTTTATGGCTACAGTAACACTTTGAGTTTAAAGCCTTTTACAGGCTCAGGTGTTACTACAGGTGATAGCACTAAAGTATAATGAGCACTTAGCAAACCTGGGCTAGAGGTGTTATATTATCCCCTAAGTAAGCTGTAACACTTGTGTAATACTTTCTCACAGGTATGAATTAGGAGCTGCTCTGTTTATTGGATGGGCAGGAGCCTCACTCTGCATAATTGGTGGTGTCATATTTTGCTTTTCAATCTCTGACAATAACAAGACACCCAGGTATGTAAAGAGACCAAAATGACTTTTAGAAAGTACTATAATACACTGTAAGTCATTACCTGTGGGGGACATATTATGGCAGCATATGTGATTCTTAGAAACTTCAAAATCTCCAGAATTGGAAAAAGTTAGGAATGTACTTAAGCTATTTCCATAATTACAAATATGAGCATAAAACTGAGGGCATGCTCATCATGCCAACCTTATTCTAATTTCCAAATAGGCAAGAATTGTTCATGGAGGTCACTACTGGCTTCCAGGTTCCAGAAAGATGAGTATTTTTTTTTAATCTATTTGAAAATACCATTTATGCAGGGATCGGGGGATTGAACTCAAAGTCTTACATCCTCGCTTAGCTTTTTCGCCAGAGGCTAGTGCTCTACCCAAGAACTAGACCTCAACCCCTTGGTTGATTGGAGATAAGAGCTCACAGAGTTTTCTGCCCAGACTGACTTTGAACCGAGATCTTCAGATCTCAGCCTCCTGAGTAGCTAGGGTTACAGCTGTGAGCCATCAGCGCCAGGCAGGAAGAGGAGTCTTAAACACTAGTTTTGAAACATAACTGAACAAATGAGTGAGTTAAGAATTTCTTCAGGGCTGGGAAAGTGGCTCAGTGGTAGAGTGCTTGTCTTGCATGCATGAGGCCCTGGGTTCAATTCCTCAGCACCACATAAGCAAAAAGAAAAAAGCCAGAAGTGGTGCTGTGGCTCAAGAGGTAGAGTGCTAGCCTTGAGCTGAAGAGCTGAGGGACAGTGCCCAGGCCCAGAGTTCAGGCCCTATGATTGGACCCCCCCCCAAAAAAAGAATTTCTTCAGCAGAAATTCAGTCATGCAGTTCACTGGAAACTTTGAACTCTGTCTCAAAGTAGTGAGAGGAGAGAAGGATGCTAACAAGGAATTAGCTATTGACAGAAATAGGTAGAAATGGTTTTGCCTCGTTTTTGTTTGTTTTATGCATAGAACAGGATCTACCCCAAGCTTTGATGTTTTGCCTTTCAGAATGGGATACACATACAACGGGCCCACATCTGTTATGTCTTCTCGGACAAAATATCAAGGTGGAGAAGGAGACGTTAAGCCCACAAATCCATCAAAACAGTTTGATAAAAATGCTTACGTCTAAGAGCTCTGCCGGCAAGCCGTATCTTGAGTTGTTATAAAAGTGAACAGTTCACAAAATGGTTCCATCAAGTCCCTTCTGTAATTAATCCTCAGACTATTTTTACAATATGAATTGGAAGAATTTGTTGATTGTCTGGATGTAAATGTTCTTATAGTTATGAACTAATCATTTTCTGTTGTGGCTTTCTATAAAAAATAAACAAGTTTATTTACAGGACTTCCATATTTTATATATTTAGAGAACAAGTAAAGCATTTAGTACTAGAGGCTCAAGCAGTATTCGTAATAGTACTATAGTCCTTGTGATCTTCTGTACATTGAGGTCTTTGACCCGTTCCTTGTTTCATTCATGTATTAAACAGAAGTGTAAACAGAATGTTGTTGTATAAGCAATAGGGGCAGTGTGTGAGTAGTTTTTAAAAGGCATTTATGTTAAACAGGCATGTTGTTAGCTGCTTCTGGTTTCTCATTCCCATTTGTCAGGGCTGCCATTCATTACAGTGGCTCAAGGAAGGGTTCATGACGCTCACCAGCAGAGCTGCCATTTATATGGCACATCCACCTTAAAGAAGGAACCGAGTAGGTTCCTCTGACAGGAGTAGGGTCCACAGACAGCAGAGTATCCTCATCAGCTGAGATAGAGTTGCAGGTGGCCAATCAACAAAGTCTAGGAGCCACACGGTCCCCGCCTCCCTCACAATTGGGAAGTTGAGCTCCTGTGCCTCACACAGCAACTAACTAGTAATGGGAGCGTCTCAGCACTTCCCAAGACTTGTTTCAGTGACTTCTGAACAAAATCACGGAGCATGAGATTGACAACCATTACCACCGAGCTTCTGTGCCCTTGGTAGTTACTTCTCAGCCACCATAAACGGCCCATTCCTTCAGTGTCCTGCAGCTACAGAGAAGGAAATTAAAGCGAAGGGTTTAAGTAATTTGCCACCATAGTGGCTGAATCCCCAACCTAGGCTTTTGGTTGGAACAGCACAGGGTAAAAGAAGAGAGTTTCAAGCTATGGGTAAGAAATGGTACCAATGTTGGCCTGGGAAGGTGGCTCAGTGGTAGAGCGCTTGCCTTGCATGAATGAGGCCCTGGGTTCGATTCCTCAGCACCACATAAGCAAAAAGAGAAAAAAGCCGGAAGTGGCGCTGTGACTCAAGTGGTAGAGCGCTAGCCTTGAGCTGAAGAGCGGAGGGACAGTGCCCAGGCCCAGAGTTCAGGCCCCACAACCAGACCCCCCCCAAAAAAAGAAATGGTACCAATGTTATCTGTAAGCAAGTGTTTGAAAGTGAGTTACCACGTGAGTGACATCAAGTCTCTGAAGTGTCAGTGCTAAGAGGACACATCACACTAGAGATGCTCATGTCTTTACAAAGAATCAATGGGAAGAAAAGGAAGCGGACAAATGTGTTGAAAAAATAAAACATGCCATATGCTACATTAATCCTTGAAATACCTGTCCCCGCTCCCCAGAAATACTAGATAATTATATGCAGAAGCTAAATCTAAAATATACCAGGACATGATAAGTTGTATAGGACTCAAGGTATTCACACACAGTGAGACCCCAGAGGATATTCTTAGGGGAGGACCACAAAAGCACACTGCCCATGTGCATCTGACCATACAGAATAATATTTATAGAAATGTATTCCAGGGAATGGAAAAGAGTTGTTTTCCTTCATTGTTTTTCTTTTCTTTTTACCTTGTTTATCTGTCTTTGGAAGGGTAAGGTAGGGTACAGAAATGGAGGGACAAAGGGTGAGCAAATGCACCAGTGGTACTCACTAGGAAATGAACTACACAACTCCTGGGTATGGACAGGAGAGAACAAGTGGGAGAGAGCAAGGAAATGTACTCATTACTTGACTTACCTAACTATAATCCCTCGGTACATCACCTTTATAAGAGTAAATTTCAACTAAGCTGAGGAAGGTAACATGTAAGCATGTAAGAATGTAAGCATTTAGAGAGGTTAGGGGATGAAAGTTCAGAAAAGCTGTTAGTAATCATAAACTGGTTAGCTGGGTTGGGGTTGAGGTAACATCCAAAGGAAAAGGAGCCAAATCTAGTTAATAAATATATAAATGATATGATTAGACCAGATGGGTTTCTTGGACACACAACTTAACAGTGGGTTTACCCAAAAGAAACACGGCAGACAGATTTGGACAGACCAGGGTGAATGTCTACTTTTGTCACGTCCTAATTGTGTGGCTTTAGGCAAGCCACTTAGTAACTCTTTCTTACATCTTTAGACTCAGGATTATGGCAATGACCATACCTCAAAATGGTTCTAATTAACTAGTACATGGTTATTTTTTTTTAAAAAAAAACAAACCAAACCTAAAACACAGGCTCAGTACGTAACTTGGGGAAATGGCCAATGAGCAAAGCAGCCTGTGTACCATCCAGCACCAGGGATATTGTAGGTGGTTTATCACTGTCCTACTTCATGAGAGCTAGATTCATCATTATAGCATTTAGGAACATGTACCCAAAGTGAGTTACATTTGCATAGAAATAGCCCTTTAGGGAGAACTGTTTAAAAGCTTGGAATGAGTTCACATAAAAAGGAACCTGGGAAAGGTAAAAGTAGATTTATTCTAGTTAGGATGTTATATGCTGTGACTACTAGGACAAGTTTCCTGTTAGACCCCTCAACACGCACAAAAAAATTTTTTTGGTCAGTACTGGTCTGAACTCAGAGCCTTGTGCTCTCTAATTTGGCTTTTTTGCTCAAGACTGGTGCTCTACCACTTGAGTCACACCTTCACTTCAGTGTTTTTTGCTGGTTAATTCTAGGTCAGAATCTCCAGAATTTGTCTGGCCAAGCCGCTTCAAGGATTCAAGGCATGAACCACTAGCACCTATAGTCCACTCAGAAACTTAGTTCGGAAATCATCTCTTAATGAGCAACCACACTCATGGTGATGTAACGGAGGGCTTTACTGGTAAACTTGACAGATGAAGACATCCCCAAACCCAACAAACCATTTAGTTAAAGATTTCTTGTTTTAGGAAAGAGTACGGCTAGTACCACAAAAGTGTAAAAGAAAAAAAAAAAGGCAAAGAACAGTGTCTATGAAAACTTTGACAACATCATTGCTCAAGAAAATAACTAAATTAGTTTTGAGGTATTTTATAGTATGGGTTGAGCATCTTAAAAAAGGAGTAAAACTACATATATATTCAAGTAACGGCTCAATCTTTTCTACTTGATATTCTGACGCAACTAACTGGCATCTACAGTTGATTCATAAAATAACGGAGATCAAGATTGTATTGCAGGAAGTTACTGTTCAATAGCAACATGCTTACGGGACTCAAGCTTAACGCTGAAAATGAACAGGAAACTTAGGGAAAATGTGTTAATGTGGGCCTTGCTATGAGTTAATCACTCGAATTTTCTATATGAAAAATAACTAACCTAACTGTTGGGATTTTTTTCAGATTCTACTGATTCCATTTTCAAGGTATGAACAGAATTTTCTAGTATTAAACACTTCAATGTGACAGTATACATAAAAGCATTTTTAAAGTTGTAATAATTCAAACCCAAACCTGCTATAAGTTAAAAAAATCTTTTTTCACTTGAAAATAATACATTTAAACACTAGACTACCATTCTGAAGAAAACACTTTTTTATGACTTCAATGACATTTTGTTTTCAAGCAGGAGTCAATCACCTTGATCTGCTTCAAAATACTGCTGACAATTTGCTTTTGAATACTGTGTGAGGTGCCCTTGAAGAGAGACCATCGCTCTCTTTTTCTGCTTCCGGCTTCCGGTTGTTTGAGGAAGCCTGTAAGGCAGGAACACTGGATGGTGGAGGCCATTGCTGAGATACTGCTGGTTTGGGGCTGTGTGGACTTAAAATTTACACTTCTAAAAAGTCACTCCATTCAGTCACAGTTACTAAGCTGCTTTGTAATGTGTTTGGCTCATGATCTTGAAGTCCTGTGGAGGAAGAGGGAGGAGGGAGGGGGGAGGGGAAGAAGAGGGAGGAAGGGGAAGGAGAGAAAGACCCAGTGATTAAACAAACCTGGGTGGTGATTTCAAGCTGTGTATTTTTTACTATTTATTTTATTACTGTTAAGTAGTTGTACAAAAGGATTTCAATTCAACATGTCAGTGTATGAGTACATTGCCCTCTGTTCAATGTCTCCCATCATTCTCCATCTCTCCCAACTCCACCCATCCCTTCTCTGCTCCTCTACCCCCCCCTCCCCTCGTCATGCTGTCATAACTCAGGAATCCCCAGCTCCAGTCCCCTCCTGAGCGAGGGGAGAGGGGGAGGTGACCATAAAATCTCCTTGTGAGGCCGGGTGCTGGTGGCTCATGCCTGTAATCCTAGCTACTCAGGAGGCTGAGATCTGAGGATCGCGGTTCAAAGCCAGCCAGGGCAGGAGAGACCGTGAGACTCCTATCTCCAATAAACCACCAGAAAACCGGAAGTGGCACTGTAGCTCAAGTGGTAGAGCGCTCGCTTGAGCTTGAAGAGCTGAGGGACAGCGCCCAGGCCCAGAGTTCAAGCCCCACAACCGACAAAAAAAAAAAAAAATCTCCTTGTGAGTTGTTTACAAATCTGGGACCCCCTCTCAGGGCCTGGCACGTGAGCTTTACCCAGCAACCCACCAGCTCCTGTGCAGCAGGACGGGGCATGGTATATGTGTGTTGTGTTAGTAACTCTGAGCTGAGCTGGGTGCTGGTGGCTCATGCCTGAAATCCTAAAGACACAAGAGGCTGAGATCTGAGAATCGTGGTTCCAAACCAGCCATGGCAGGAAAGTCTGTGAGACTCTTATCTTCAATTAACCACAAAAAAAATGCTGAAAGTGGAGCTAGGCCTCAAGTGGTAGAGTACCAGCTTTGAATGAAAAAGCTGAAGGACAGCGCCCAGGCTGAGTTCAAGCCCAAGGATTGGCATGGACAGTGTTCTGGACGGTGAAAATGAGCCAAAATCCCATCTGTCTCAGGAAGACATCAATATCTCAATGTCTAAAGTCATCACATTAACAACACAAAGGTTGGAGTTCATTACAAAGACTGGTAGTCTGCTAGCCTTGAGCAGAAAAAGCTCAAGCACTGCATGCAGGCCCTCAGTTCAAGGCCCAGAATCAGCACACACTCAGAAATCTAAATCTAAATTACTGGCAAAATAAGCATATGCCTTTAATCCCAGCATTTTTTTTTTTTGGTCAGTCGTGGGGCTTG